GCAGCGGATATTGGTTTGAAAACCGTTGTTGAATTCTAAACAATGCGAAACAGTCGTATTAAAATCTCGATTGTGGTCACTACTTTTTATTTCCAGCACACCGTTTTTAACAATATATTCGTATTAATAGTTGGAATTTTCTCCTGTGTAATGTAGAGTGCCGAAAGATACAGACTACAAGGAATAAGGAAGACAAAGAACTCAGCTTAGTACTCAGCTTTCATGACTATTAGTAAAGATGCTGACACGGACCGGGAAACGACTCTAGACCATACTGCGTTGCCCGTAGTCATGGTTGCCAACCTAACTAACCATTTTTGAGGGCAACGAGTAGTGTTTGTTTTGCAAACAACAGCAATGTATTGATCAAAAATTATTGGACAATGGATAAACCTCAGTTCACACTTTTGGAAGATTATTTAACATTAAATATTACGAGTAAATAATTTACACTGTACATTATTTATGAAAATTGCAAATTTATATTATTTTGTCGCAGGTCGGTGAAAATAGAGTGTATTTTATCGTCATAAGAGAGAATACTTGAAAGCGATGTTCACACTCACGGCTCTCAATTTTGAGGCTTCCGATTTAAGTCTTCTGAAGTTTTTCTTTCTTTGGCACTCATATTTCCTACCACGCCACGGTAATGACAGCATCCTTAGGCAGTGGTCATCACTTATCATTAAAATCGGTCGTTTGTGTCCTATCGACGACATTGAAAAACTATTTGGATATCGGTAACTATTATTATGTAAATAACATATAGGAATGCATAATGAAAAAATGTGGAGAAAAAAGTGGAATGGTGGGTGGTGAATTACAGTGTCTCTAAAAAAATTCGTGGGTATGATGATTTTTATACTACTTCGATGATCTTTGCTCATTAACCAGAAGTATACGTACTAAATGAAAAGTTTATCAATCATTTAACGTAGACGCGTCTTGACAATCTTAAAACATGAATAATGTACCTACGTCTTGACACTCTAAAAACATGAATAATGTAAATAATCGATGTCATCACTCACCCTTGGCACATTCAATATTAATTTTATGTGATCCATAAAGGAGCGACGCCGTTAATATTTGCATTCGATTAGAGTATTGCGTATTAACATCGAGTCAATTCTATTGGAAGAAAATTTTCAATAACATCGTACACTCGTAAATGCGTTATACCCACCTTATAATTTAATTAAATGCTTTTTTATTGTGGTTTAGTAATCAATTCGATGTAAGAAAAAACCATCGGCTTACATTAGCAGATATTGACATATTAAAAGCACATTTTTTTAACTATACCTTCATTTCTTAGATCTACCGTACTTTTGCCGTAAAACAATTATATTATTAAGTAGTCGTAGAAGGGTGGGGACAATGGCTATTAAATTAAATAGAAAATGGAACCGCTAGTTTCAAGATGGGTGGCGGCATTCTCATTATGTGGGGATTTGGTAAGTTATTTTTATGTGTTACAATATCTCTTCTCACGTAATCAGCTCAACGTATTAAAACATAACGATTAGTATTTTAATAGTGCGCAACCCTAATTAAAAAAATAAGGATAGCAGAATTATAATAATCAAAACTATTTATTCATCTACTTCCAAAGTCGAGATAGGTTGAATGCAAATAAATTTTATTATTAGAGTACGTCTTACAGCGACGAAGTTGGGACTTAGGTCACGTTTCCGCCTGTCTACCTGCGATGGACCGTAGTTCGAGACGTGTATTATTCATGAGATACCATGTTTGTGCTGAATGTATCGCACGTGTTTCAATTCTATACTGCTTCTGTATATACATAAACTATAGAGGGTACATAGGACATCTTACATTTTTGTCTTCAAGGCCTTTTAGCAGAATCTATCATGGCACTACAAAAAATTATTTTAAAAGCATTGCGGATGAAATGTGATTTAAGTTTGAGTTAAAATTACGATACTGTAAAATCTATAGCAAGTATAAATTTTAGTATTTTACATAACAGGACGAGTAATGTGCGATGGATAAGTGTCGAATGTCTACTAATTTTCATTAGATGGACATCATAGTCCCTGTTCTGGTGAAGCTGGACAGGTCTTTGGGCCGCAAAAAAGGGTATCATTTCGGCAAACAGCGAAAAAGATATTTACGGACCCTTATAATAAACATAGCATATAATAAGCACGAAAACTTACATAGAACGGAGCAAATAGTAGAAACACAGAGAAAGCGTCAGAAAAATAATTACGATAAATTCTATAAAGGTAGCCTCTCATAAAATACTATTCAAGGCACCGTAATCACTGTGTTAGACAGATTTTAAACTGCTTTTTATCAGATGAACTAGCTGACCCGGCAGACTTCGTAGTGCCTCAATCAATAAATAAAAGACCTAAACTTTTGTATAAAATAAACTTAAAACACATCAAAGGAAAAACAAAAGTGTTATTTTTATTTAATTCCGAACATTTTCATTGATTTATCTACCTTTTAAACCTTCTCTGGACTTCCACAACTAATTCAAGACCAAAATTAGCCAAATCGGTCCAGCTGTTCTCGAGTTTTAGCGAGACTAACGAACAGCAATTCATTTTTATATATATAGAAGAAGATAGATAAACGTAAATAGAAACAAATATTTCTGAATTATTCTGCGTAAATTAACTTTGATTAATTTTTTATCGTAATGACGACAATCAAATTTAAACTGCAAATTGGACTACGAAAACGATATTCTGTATAGAGAAGACGCTTCTGGGTAGAGGGCAATTTAATTTGAATACTTCCCCAATTATGTTCTCCGATATTGTTTAATTTTCTATACAGTTTTGGATACTTAGGATAATCGGTCAGACAGGACGTGCGATCGAATAATGCCGTAGAATAGTCACTACTAACTACTACACAACATAAACTAGTTCCATTTATTTGATATCTGTAGTAAGCGAATAATCACTATGACATTTTTTTCTTTACACTGTCCCAATGTGTTTTCATGTTATATCGTTTCTATCAAGTTTCATCTATTAAGCAATTTTTAATTCTTGTTACAGCGAAAGAGGGAAAACAAATTACATCACGAGAAGGTTTGTTATACAAGACAAAGAAATAATTTCTTTGAGAAAATATTCAAGATATTAAAATTTTATATAAAATTATAAAACTATTTTTTAACGTCACAGAGTTAATTAGAAATGTTGCAGTGAATTTATTAATAAGTTCACTCTTTAGTTTATATAATACGTATTTATTCTGTCCAGCGTAATTTTATTATCGTAGTGATTATAATTTTAAATAGTTGTCTTAGAAAGGTATTTTCTCTTTGTGTATCGTATGCATGTAAAGTTAAAATGTTTACATAATGTATTAGAAGAGAGTTTATATTTTCTGTGTATGCCAAAAGTTTGCACAATGAATGAACGTCTGGTTTAAATTTGAATAGCAATTTGTTTGCACTTTAAGCGAACAATAGGTGACCATTAGCAAATAAAAATGCGAATTGTTGAGGTAGAAATAGTTGAATTCTTAAAGGAAGCGTATTCAATAAAAAATATTGCATTATCTCTGACCGTTGAAGAAATGTCATTTATATCAATCCATGTGTGCTCATAACAACCAAAAGACGTTAAATGCATACCATAAAAAAAACCTGAAAATATACTTTCGCAATTCAAGTTTTTTATCATTTACCACATCGCATCTATCAGTCTCTCAATATTTGACAGAACATTATATTAACAGTAATTATCGCAGTAAACATTTGGCAACGATCCAAGCGACAGAGCTGTAACCGTATATTGTGATATTCGTTACATTACCGGCTCTGGTACACTCCCTGATAAGTACATTTTACGTATTTTTAGTGACAGCTGCTGATATGTGTGTAACCCATTGAGCGAATCGGCAGTTGTTTAGATGTAAAGTGGGTAAGTGGTAGCTTTGTAGCAAAGCTCGTCTCCTGTGACAGCTAAGCAGCACTATAAGATAGACTTTTGCAATTCAGATATTTACAGATGTACTGAGAATCTCTTTTCTTGTTTCCGTCACGTGGATGGTGGTGTGATTGCCTGCCACATTCTGCCAGAAGGCGTTACAATGCAGTTGAGGGCTTTTTTTTCCTACCTAAGCTGATAGCCTTGAGAGGCTATTTCAGCGTAATCTTAACTAGTAGGTGAGCTCACGGGACTCAAACCTGATGACGTTGCCCACACGAACCCTAGGAAGAGCCGTGCTTCGCAGAATCTATCACTGGATCCGAAACGCGACTCACTGAGAAGATACGGCGAGAAACTCAGTGGGCTCTGTCTGTGGGTTAATTTACTCGTCGAGCCCTTCGTCGCAAGCGACGGGTTCGACGAGAACGATGACCGATGCTTGAGGTCCTAAAAGCACCGTTAGTGGGCCGGGAGGATCCGAAATGAAGTGTTTTGGGCGACGTCGACTGCTTTCCATTCTGTCCGCAGGATAATTGATCTCCTATTGATGATATACCATTTAGGTTCCGGTGGACAATGAGCTCCACACCTACACTAATCAACCCTAATTTGTACTGTGTTTTTTTTCCTCTATGACATTTAGAGCTGACTGTCGATGCGAAAGACATTCGATTAATAATACTACCAGCTAGAGAGTTTTAAAAATATTTATTGCTAAGATTTTTTATTAAAGAACAGCGTTGATGTCAACGAATACCTCGCTGTAAATTTGAGCTAAAATTCATCTGCATTGCGAAATGTAATCTAATCAGACTCTACTAACATACAGTGAAAAGTAAACAAGTTGTACTCATAAATTAAACAAGTATCTTTTTAATACTCGCATATAAAAAAATTTCCTACTTATTCTAGTGACCTCGAGGGGTCATGCTAGGTTAACCGAACGAGGGCTTTTAATTTACGCAGTTTTATATGCGCTTGTGGCGCAGTGGCATCCATACGTTTAGCTGATTAAACAGGTTGATGATTCGATAATGAAATTCTTAATGTCTTAATTCTATGTACACTATAACTCACCTTATGATAAGTTTCCTTCTGCCAGTTCTTTATCTGTGCCATAACGTCGTTCACCAGCCTATCCCTGACGCTGAGGTGGAGGTCTGAAAGTCGTTCCGCTTCCACCATGCTGCCCTTCCAAGCAGCTTCCATTGTGCCGTATTCTGGTCCTGCAGAAGAATTACATTTTAACAATTGATTCATCATCATTATTATTATTATTATTCTGTATTAAACACTGCCACGCCTGGGAAGACGGCAGGACACACTCCGGCGAGGTGGGCAACAATCGGCCGGAGCGTTAGGGACTATTGGGAGAGAAACCGGCGAACTAGACGGGCATTGTCGAGCAAGACTGCTTTTTGCATTTGGGCCAGCACCGAATTTTTGTTGAGACCAAGCCTCTCGAGACGTTTTGAGAAGCTTTTAGGGACCAAACCATTCACCGACACAACTACCGGGATTATTTCTGTAGATACCACCCTCCACACGTCTGTCACCTCGTGCGCCAGGTCCAAATATTTGGTCTTTTTATCTGCCTCTTATTATTATTATTATTTTACAAACTAAAAGCTTTTATCACAATACTATTAACTACACTACGAACTAATAATGAGTTGGGACAGCTTGTGTGTGAACGCATGAAGAAAATTTACACACATGATGAGTTCTGGTAATTGTAGCAGAATTTAAATCTCCATAACCTTGTTCGGGAAAACTACTATTAACAATAAAACAGACAGGATCGCGTACATCATGTATGATTGGATTCATCTTACGTCCTATCACTAGTGACCAGTCAAATCTTCACAGTCCAAGTTAACGCAAAGTGAACGATGTCGCCCAACTTGAAACGTTAAGGTGCAAATATACATTGAATACAACTGTCATACCTTTTAAACCTGAATACTTCGTGACCGAATGGTGCTACCTATACTTCACTTCACTACACCTACGCCTTAAATTTACAGTTGGAAAATATAAATTTAATTAAAAATAAAGAAATTATAAATTTTAATATTTCATTATTATTTTTACTACTAACTTTTTCACTACTACTACATTTAGTAACCTCAGGGGCTAGTCAAACTAGCCACTGTGGTTATTGCATCACGGGAAGTGGTCGAGTTATGTAAATTGAATCAGGTGTATTCAAAATCGATTCTTAAATTCAGGCGCGTTCAGTCTAAAATATAAAACTATACTGAAAATTAATTGCTGCTGGAGTAATTAAATGCTGAACGCCCGCACTGGGAACTCCGCAAGTAATTTTCTTTAATGTTCTTTAATATTACGGAGAGGAGACGGATAGCGCGAATCGAGAAAAATGTTATGTATATATTGTAACATTTTGATGACTTTATTGCAGTTCACTTAGAGACTATTAAACTGCATATTCCAAAACATATTATTTAAAAAAAAATACATATATTTAAACATAACCTTGTTTCCATCTGAATTAGTAATTAAACTATTTGTTAAATAATTTTGAAATTGAATTGCATAACCAGACAAAATAAACTTAGCTTAAGATAAGTTAAACATATAACAATGCTTTTAATTTCCACAAAATTGTAACAGCAAACTTTTTACCCTATAAAGCCTCAGAAGATATTTTTAAGACCCGCACGGGTAAGTCTATTTCACTCGCAAACAAAAAACAAATCCAAGTACTAGTTTCAAGGCATGACAAGATACTTTATTCTATTGTAATTAAATTTTGACCTTATTTGTGAAGGTGCTTTGCGTGGCGATTCACAATGTGGTGGCCATGGGGTATAGTGATTGCTCATCATCTGGCGACGCACCAGCTTGTTTACTTAGACAATTAAAAATTTTTGAATCTCGCATGCTAGCGGTGTTTCGGTCTAAAACACCCTAACGTGTTCATAACTTTATGCACAATTTCACATGATCACACGTTCTGTCAACTTAGTTTTACGCAATCTGACACACTTTTAAACCTCACATTTTTCATTGACATTTTGTCACCCTTCTTTATTTGCTTTACTAGATTTTCAGTTCTCTTATTCATTAAGTAACCACTAACATTATAAGTATATCATCTCGGGTGCCTGTTTGATATTTTTCTATCAGTTCTAAAGCCGGAAAGCGGGTGAAAAACTCACTGTATGTGGCCTTTTACGAATCTTTTATCTATTATGGAAAAAATTGAAGTTTAAACGAGAAAAAACATAGTTCTGTAACGTATTTCAAATAAAAAACAAACCGGTCTCATCAAGAAGCCTGAAGGCCGGGCCATTTTCGCAATTGATCATTTCATAACCAATTACACTTATACGACTCGTATTCGTCGTATACTGTTACTTAATCCGGTTGAAAAAGGATGACCAATTACCATACCGCCCATTTTAAATTCCGTAAGCACCAATCGCGACACTTTCAGTTTTTTAACTACCAATGCTAAAACGCAAAACTTGCTTTCAGACACGTACTCATTGCCCGGTTGCCGATGTAACGATTCGTAAGACGAATTCGATTCCGTGTATCGAATACGAGACGATCGATTATAGAAAAGTTACGATCCTTGGAATTCTTAATTGACTTTCCATTTCATTGCGACTTTTTATTCAGGATTCGTTTTGTTATGCAACAATTGAAAAATGGTAATTTAAAAAGTGAATGTAACTAATTCCTATTATGAATCTTCCAAAATTAAGCAACTGATGGTTAGACAAAATTGTTATATCTATAATTTCATTACGAAATTGTTGCAGCAACGCTTGGTGCTTCTGCGTTTTGATTAACTGTTTATGTTCCTTCGAAATAGTTTATCAATGGCATGCATAATCACGCGAATTGATTATAATTTTTATCGTTATATTCGATCACAATCGATTCTAAAATCAGCCCGTGAATTGGGTAACCCAGTTAAAGCAAGGTTGCACGTTTATCGCCTTTGGCATCGATTTAAGTTTGTGGTAAAATACAGGTGATAATTGTTGTTTTACAATTTGTCGCGTGTTCACGCAATTATTTACGGCCTAATGTATTGTAATCGTTTCACGGCAAATATTATTGTAGTTAATTTTAATAAGTAATTTGACACTTGCTCTCACCGCATTACAACTATGGTTGTGCAGTGAGACAAGGCGAGGCGTTTACATCACATATATCCAACAAGACGGTCGTAAATCGTCTAGAGAATGTGTCCACAAACGCTAAAGTAACGATATCTTACTCATTTAAATGGATGTATTAAATATTTTTGGAGCAGTGATAGTCCAATTGGAATTTGTCAGATAATGAAAATTTTAAATGGGAACCTAGCTGATTGATTTTTGCATAAAAAGATTAATATTAAATTTGAAAAAAAATATTAACTTTACTGGTCTAATAGGAATGAGGAAAAAAATTATTAGTATTTTTATTGTGTTTTGTAATATTAAAAATAAATTGGTTAACTTTTCCAGTTTTTCGCAACTCTGACGTAGTTTTTTACTTCTTCGCTATGACCACCGATAGCTTTACGAGTATAATCGTAACGGTTCGGGAAATGGAGACGGTATTTGAGAAGTCGAGGTATGCGGTCAGGCTGGTCGTGCCACTTCTTGTTGGGAATAAACATACGCTTCCTAGTATTGAACTGGTATTGGTTTGGGATGCGATGGGAAAGTGCTGTAAGTAAATACTAAGACGCGTTTTTTTTTATAATGACATATTATTATTTAACGTGTAATAAATTAATAAAAACTTTCGATTTGTAGAGCTAAATTAAATCTTCCATTATAACTGTAACGTAGAGGAAGAGGTAGATATAAGAAAAAAATTATGGATTGTGTAAAAGACGATATGTGTAAGAGGGTATGTAATGCCATGCCATAGTACATTTCATACAATTTTCTTTACACATCATATTGAGGTTGATTAAAAGTTAAAATATTCTAAAATTTCAAGAAATAGATTGTTTATTTTATTTTTATATTAAAAACTACGAATGTTTCGGTCCTATTTGGAACTGCAATTAATAGTTATGTTACTTATAATAGGTAGCTAATACAAAAAAATGTGGACATATGTTCACATTTGTAGCGGTAGGCAGCGGCTTGGCTCTGCCCCTGGCATTGCTGAAGTCCATGGGCGACGGTAACCACTCACCATCAGGTGGGCCGTATGCTCGTCTGCCTACAAGGGCAATAAAAAAAAAATTGTAGCCACAGTACGTAATCATAGGGTATAGGGTATCACATTACAAAATAAAATAAAAAATTATGTAACTTTGAAAAAAAAAAAAAAAAAAGACCTGTATTTTTTTCCCATGTGTAGTTATTGATCCGACCATACACCGGTACCGGCTTATCGTTCAATTTTGAGACACGTTGTATAGTCTTCGTTTTTTATAGAAAAAACGTATAACGATAAAGAGAACCCCAAAGAGGAGAAAATCGAAATGTGGAGCGTGAATACTTATATAACAAGTTTCCTTTGATTCGTTTCTTAACGCATTCATCTTCAATCGATTCTGGCGTACTCAGAGATCCATTTATCAATAAAGCACGGAGTATTCTGTCTATTACAAGTATGAGAATTTCATAACATTCTATTTTTGGTTTTTGTTTAATATTTTTGTTCACATTTTTGGTTGTGCAAAGCGATTTTACTGTTTACCACCTTTTGTACTTGCTTTGGCTTTTGTTCTTGTATTCGTTTAAATTGAATATGCAATTTCGAAAAGGGCACATGTCGCATATTTTGTCAAATACGTTTTTTCATAAATGTACATGTAGTTTTGAGGCTTACCTACACTCATTTTATAATAATTCCAGTAATTTTCAATTGCTAATTAAAACTAAAATATATCTCAAAATTTAATATTTTAAATTTTACACTGCTTTAGAAAATAATCAGTTTTTTTTTTCATTTCCTGAACATTTTACATTTTCAGAAATGTGGCCTTTTCGAAATTGCATATTCTATTAAATTTAAGTGTTTTTTAGGACTAGAATTTTTTATCGAAATCAACCTGTTTAAGAATTGTATTAGCCACCAACGAATACGTACCCTTTTCGATCAAATCATTCCATTTCTTAGCCCATCCTCTGAGGCTTTTCGCGTACGCCTTCTCGATATCGGCACGTTCTTGGACCAAGGTTTGAAGTTCGCTGCACAGTCGATGTCCATCGTCTACTCTCTTGGTGGTCCTCTTGTAGTTACCAGGCTCCCAGAACGAGTCGGAAGTGGTTGTGAGCAACGCATGCTCGTCGCTGTGGTGCGACATGGCGGTGCGACACTCACACACCGCCCCTCTGTAACAAAGGAGAAGATTTTTTAATAAACATTTTATCTATAGAGATGTAGTTATGTATATAAATGGTACGTATGACCATCTCACTTCTTTTATTAGTCATAAATATTCCAAAACAACGAAACTGTTGTTTTACAAAATATATTTTATTTTTCAAATAAGTGGTTATCGGAATCTATGAACTTTGTGAATTCCGTCACTCACCTTGAGACACGAGGATTTAATCTAAATTGCATTAAATAACGGCTGTGCTAACCCTTCAAATGACTGTTCGTGACAAAAAATAAACTGAAATAAAATAAAAATAAACGTGCTTAAAAACTACACCACCAGTAAATTGTGCTTTCAAAGCACAAAAAAAAAATTGTTTTTTACATACTAAAAAAGTACATTTAAAACTATATAAGACACATTATATTATTATCATTTAAATGAGAAAAAGTAGAGTTGAAATCTTAATTACAAAAATTCGATTTTAGGCAATTCACAGAATCAATTCTAAATTCGTCAATTCGTAATAATCGATTATCAATAGAAATAGTTTATTATTACACAAATAAACGGATACATATTTAGATTTAAATGAAGAGTTTTTCTTTATTCGGGAATAACACAAATTATAAATAATGATTGAAATGTATTTAAGGTGACATTGCAGCCTTCTCAGCTATTGTTCGTTAGACAGGACAATGAATCAGCGAGTGACACGAGACAAACATTAATTCAATTTTAAATACTAAAATATTATCTACCAACCACCAATGTGTATGTAATGTATACTTATATGTTATAAACGTTAACCGGGTTTACCCAGATAGTACCAGTAATAGTAATATTTTATCTTTACTTATTTTAATAAGTACCTATTATTACCTATTTATCTATATACATAACTACATAGGTACCTATTATTTCCTTTCATTTTCCTTTTATTTCACGGTCGATGATTAATTTGATAGGTATTATAATTAATATCTTTTTTTATTATCTCATACGAATGGTGAAGTGGAACACGCTGGTGTTTAGAATAAAGTTGAGAGAGTGCTGTACATGTCACAAAATTTTCCGAATATATGTTTATTATATCATGTGTGATTATTGAAAAAATACGTAGACTATTTCTTCCACGAATACGTACTCAAAAAATGTTCACGTTTGACTTCCACAGTGAAGGAATAACATCGTGTAATAAAAATCAAACCCGCAAATTTTAGTTTGCGTAATTACTGGTGGTAGGTAGGACCTCTTGTGAGTCCGCACTGGTAGGTACCACCACCCTGTCTATTTCTGCCGTGAAGCAGTAATGCGTTTCCGTTTGAAGGGTGGGGCAGCCGTTGTAACTATACTTGTAACCTTAGAACTTATATCTCAAGGTGGGTAGCGCATTTACGTCGAAGATGTCTATGGGCTCCAGTAACCACTTAACAACCAGGTGGGCTATGAGCTCGTCCACCTATCTAAGCAATAAAAAAAACCAAGTACATAGTTTAGTTAGTAAATTGGATCATTTTATTCGCTATTATAGTAATAACGCCTCCCTCTTTTCATGTTATCGTAAAATCACCTATTTTATTTTTAGGTCACGTATTAAATTTTTGCTTTATTGCATTATCATGTAGTTCGGTTCTGGTTTCCCAATCAAAATCATTAAGTATTTTTGTTAAACGTATTTAATTTTGTTGTACTTCGATGCATAATAAATACTAAACTAAAATCTTATCTTATGAAAGTTGAATATGTTTGAAATTGAAAATAATATTAAGACCTCTTTAAATAGAATTAGTCCTTCACAATTATAAGAGTAAAACAAATACATACAGAACTTACAAAATTGTTTCTATAACGCAGTTATACAAAAATAAATTAACATTTTTGCTTCATCGCATTTACTAATATTGATTTAAAATTATAATTCTACGAGCTACGTTATGAATAAGAATTAATATTTGTAATAAAAATTCTTAAGCATGATTAAAATGTATAATAATTAAAACAAAGGTGACGAAACCAACGCGCTGTACAAATTTAAATAATGACATTATTGTCTACACGCAGATAATCCCGTGTTGATCCAGTTCATTCAAGGTGAGATTAAAACTTAGGTCTATAGTATTTGACGTCATCGGTATTTCTCGCACATCGGGTCCAAGCGATATTATGTATAATAAATACACAGTGAAACCGCGGATCGGAAGGTTAATGATTTAAAAGTAAGTTATTATGACATAATCACGACGTTAATGCTTCGTAAAAGGAATTGTTTTCTATTTCTATACTAATATTATAAAGAGGAAAAATTTGTTTGTTTGTTTGTTTCGAATAGGCTCCGAAACTACTGGACCGATTTGAAAAATTCTTTTTCCATTAGAAGCCGACATTGTCCCTGATGAACATAGGCTACTTTTTTTGGTTTCATTTGTGTTTTAATGTTTCCGAAGCGAAGCGAGGGCGGGTCGCTAGTTTAATAATAATAATTGAAGCGATTTGAATTTTTAAATGTTATGATAATTTTTCTGAGAAACTTGCATTCTTATTCCGTTTCAATAAAAATCTGAGATTTATTTCAACCAATCCCTATAAACAAGATGAGGATTATGATAAAAAAAGTGGCCAACACTAACTTGAGGCATTATGGTATCTAACATCCAAACGTTTATAATAGTAATTTTAATAGTGAACCGGCTGTTAAAGTTTTTCTACTTCAAAATATCACGTTTATTATGAATGCGAGTCATCCATACTTCTATACTAATATTATAAAGAGGAAAGATTTGTTTGTTTGTATTGAATAGGCTCCGAAGGCACTGAACGGATTTGAAAAATTCTTTCACTGTTTGGAAGCTACACTATTCCCGAGTGACATAGGCTATCTTTTTAGAATAAAATCAGAGATCCTTACTAAAACTCCAATAATGTAATCCAAGGTGTAAAAAATTACCTAAAATATTCCATACATCGCGTGCGAAAACTGCAAAAACTATATAGATAGGATAAAATAATGTACTACGACTTTGTAGAATACATTATTATTTACAAAAAGTGTCGCGACAGCACATGTCTAACTATTATAGTTGTGCCGCAACAAGTGTTCTTTTATTTTAAAAAATAAAACAACGTCAAATATTGTTGAAATTTTTTGTTAAAGACCCGAGCGGAGCCGGAGCGGGCCGCTAGTCAATACTATACAGTAGCATACGGGATGTTTACGACGTTGGATCGTCGACTTGTATCGTAGTAAACAAATGAATTTTTAGGACCATGTTAAAAATATATTTTACGAGGCTAACGCTTTTTATGAATGATTTCACAATCGATTCATGAGTAACGATTGAAAGGAATTTGAGAACACATCATACACGCTCTTGTACCGAACTCTGACAATTGTTGTAAGCACAGCTTATCAGCTGGCTGGTTGAGGTGAGATATTTACAATTTTAATTTGCGACAAGTTTAATTTATAAAGACATGTTGCGACACGCCCCTGCTGTTGTAAACCTTCCCCCCGACCAGATTCGAAATAGGTTTACGAGACTATAAATATGAGTTAATACATAGATTTGCAAACGAATACTGATTTTTTGATTAGGTACTGAGTAAAATACATAATCCCTTTTTCTTATAGACGCTTCTGATCTTAGTTTTTTTTTATTGCCCTTGTAGGCAGACGAGCATACGGCCCACCTGATGGCCTTCAGCAATGCCAGAGGCAGAGCCAAGCCGCTGCCTAATTAATTGTAATAACGGATTTCCAATTGATAGAAATTCTATTATTCTGTAGAAGCGAAAAAGCGACATCGTCATTGATTTTATATTCTATTCTATTCTATTATGTTTTATGTCGTATTTACGTCGATACTATTGGTGTTTATGCTGTAGGTATGCGTCATGAATCACATAATTGCTTTAACCAAATTAGCTACTTGTAAATACTCAAGGTATTTCCGTTTTCAACACAAAAACGCTTTTTACTAGATTTGACTGGCAGATGGACGAGTCTTTTGTGTGTTTTATATTTGCTAGCACCCTGTTCAACTTGATACTATATACTTATATGTACACACTACGTTTCCTTCGTTTTCGCAAAACTCACAATTTTAATTGGCTCTCTTCGTCGGTGTTACTGCAGAGATACTAATTCTATGGTCATCGTCGGGTCTACGCTATATTTTTCAAGGTTTTTCTTTATTATAATATTTTTACTGGTGGTAGGACCTCTTGTGAGTCCGCATTGGTAGGTACCACTGCCCAGCCTATTTCCCCCGTGAAGCAGTAATGCGTTTCGGTTTGAAGGGTGGGGCAACCGTTGTAACTATACTGAGACCTTAGAACTTATATCTCAAGGTGGGTGGCGCATTTACGTTGTAGATGTCTATGGGCTTCAGTAACCACTTAACACCAGGTGGGCTGTGAGCTCGTCCATAAATCTAAGCAATAAAATAAAAAATAAAATTTACTATTTCAGACATTTTAATTTATTATTCTAGAAAACATTATATTATCAAATATCAATAGCTAACTTCCCGTTCGGATTTTCGCCTGCGTGAATCACACTTAACATTGCGTGGGATGAAAGGCATATTTTCTTTCCTAGGTTTCAAACTACTTCCGTACCGAATTTCGTCTAAATCAGTTCAGAGGTTTGGACGTCATAACGTAACAGAGCTACGTTAGATTATTTGGTATCTGGATTCAATACTCGATTAAATCATAATTTATTGTATGAATAAACCCACCCAGAGTTTATTGAAGGTGGGCGTTGCAAGAAACAATCGTTTTGTTGATACATTTTTTATCTTACAGAGATGCACCGTTTTTATTTTTCTTCGGAATCGTTCTCGAAGCGACAACTAATGACAAGTGCCATCGTGTAATAATTTACTTACTCCTCCATTGTAACCTTATTCTTAAATAATGATTCAACAATTTGAGTGCGAAACAATGATAACTGTCGCTTGTGACCTTTTTCCCGCAATCAGCCCTTATTTCCAACTAGCGACCCGC